GGATGAAAAAGAAATTTTAATTCTTCCGTTTACCGTTTTTAAAGTAATAGAAATTAAACGAAATTATCTTGATGATCCAACAGCATCAATATCAATTGAAATTGAATTAGAAGAATGTGAAGATCCAAATGATAATAAAAATGAATCAGAAAGTACGACATTTTTTCTTTACGTATCTCGAAAAAAAAATGAACTCTATCAATTCTGTCAAAGTTTCAGATAGTAAAACATAAAGAATATCATCATTATTATCAAGTAATGATGAGATAAAAGATGTTGAAGAATATAAAAAATTCAAAGAACGAAAACGTCGTCTTTATGGCATCATTGGATTTTTGGTGTTCGCTATTCTTTTGGGTTTAACTCTTGTATTAATTGTTATTTTCGTTATTCGAAAAGATTCCACAAAAAACACTACACCCACACCCACAACGCCTACCACAGAAATGGTTAAGGATGACAATGATCCATTACCACAAGGTAAAAGTGAGATAATATAAAAGCTGGCCAGAAAAGGTTCTAACAAATTAAAATATGAAATCTCCTTCCAACTGCGCCGAAATATATGTATTGTAGCTTTTAAACATATTAATTAAAATTCGCTCTTTCCTTATTGACAATTAAAGCCACTGACTTTGATTTCAGGTTGTCCAGTCAAATCACTAACTCTATATTTCATAGATCTCAAGGAAGCATGTAAAGTTGATTTCTCAGTTAACAGATTAATAAAACTTGATAGATTTAGAGTAAACTATTCTTTGTAAAAAAAATACTAAATAATTCTATTCTCTGTTGAACAAGTACAAAATAGATATGTTTGATGTTTACTTCTTGTAGGTTGTCCCAATATATTAAAACGCTCTAGCTGGAATGCCCGTCCGTATACCAATCGTGAAAATTTAACAACATTACCGGTTACAAATATTGTTGTACATGCATTAGAAGGTTTGAATTCAATTATGAATGACCAAGATTGTATTGCTCAAATAAAAGGACTTCAAGATTATGACATGGATATAGAAAATTGGGCTGATATTGGTTATAATTTTCTTCTGTGTGATGATAGTGGTGACCAACAACAAATTTATACAGGCAGAGGATGGAAATTTACTGGTGCACATTGTATAAGTTATAATAAACGATCATTGGGTAAAAATGAATTCCTCTTTTAACGTTCTAGAGCAACAGATCTTAGATTTTGTCAATTTGATCTTGCCATACACTCAAAAATACTTTCGTAGAATAAAAAAACCCATAATGAGTTTATGAAAGTGCAACAATCTACAAACCCTTTAGACACATATCAAAATTGCCAATGTAGCCTTGAATGTTCATCAGATTAGCCAATGCATCCTTGAAGAGTACATTAATAACTTTGATATGCCCCTAAAACGTTTACAGATTGTTTCACTTTTATAAACCTATTATAGGTTTTTTTTATTCTACGAAGATTTTTTTCAGTGTAGTAATTAAAACATTGTATGAATTTTGATGTGTATGGTTATAAGAGCCAGTCCATGATAAAAATCCTAAAAATTTGGAGATTCAATATTTTTAAAAACGCCTTGCATCTAAATTCATAAAACTGTGGCTTCTACTACATGTCTTAAAGTGAGCAAGATTTGATAGTTTTCATAGGGCACGTTTCTTGAGCATCGGTCATGGCTTACGTGGACTGACTCGCAACGGTTTTTGTTGCTGAAGTGCGCTATTGCTTCCCAAGTTAGTGTTTCGAGATTTCAAACCATATTATTTTGTTATTTGAAAGGTATTTGCATTATTGGCAATTATACCAGTGCAAAATCTTTAAAAACATTTGAATCATTAATTAAATGTGGCATTATGAAGAATGATATTATGAAAAATTTTACACTGATGGGACATTTTAATTCAACAAAAATTTACGAATATTATCTGGAATATTTTAGAAATGATACCGATCTTCAATATAGTAATCAAGCCAGTAAAAAACAGTTTATTTGTCCACAGTAGATGCCTAATTCGAGTTTAAATATAAATGAAAACTTTGGAAAAAAGGCTTCCATGTTGAAATAGCAAAAAAAGTAAAATAGAGTGTGGATGGGTGTATCTTGGGTGTGTATGTGGAGTGTGGGTGTGGGTGGGGTGGGTGTGGGCTGTGGGGATGGATGTGTGGGATGGGTGTGGGTGTAGTGCGTTTCTTTACTCTGACTCGCACTTACAACCACGCTCACACCTATACCCACACCATATCTACACCCTTGACAGACAAGTTGGTTATTCCATCTGAAACTCACAAAACATTTTCACAGTAAAGTTTTCCGGTTCTTCTCAATTGCAACATACATAGATCTTATTCGAACAAAGAAATAGAGAGAAGGTCGAATGACTGGACAGGAATTTAAGTTCATTGATCTTCTGTGATGAGGCTCGGCTAGTTCATTTCGAGATTTGGTCCGTGATAAGAGTGAAAATAATTCTATTTCAAAGCTTTGCTTGAGAGCATGCATGAAATCGATAAGTTAATTTATTTTTTGAATAATTATGATACATGCCAAATATAGTCTAATGGGAATGATAAGGCATTGTATTTGAATGGAATGATGATCTGCGTACATGAAACATATCAATTCAATGAAAGTTTTCAAGGATGGGTGTGGGTGTGTGGGTATAAGATGGAGTTAAGACACACACAGACCCACACCCACACTCACATCCACACCCACACACCCACATTTGTTTTATTTTTGAACCGGCAAGTAAAGTGATTTTTGAGAAAAACGAAGAAAAAAGCTTTTCTATATATTGATGTTCTAAATCGATTCGATTCGTCAATTAATAATTGGTGAAGTTTGAACAATTTTTTTCATTTAAATTCTATTTTATAGATTTCGAATCGATTATTCTTTCGAATTATGCAAACGTATATATATAATTTTTTCTTTCGTTATGCAAGCAAATTGAAGAGAGTTGAGGAAAATACGTGATTATTTAAATTTATTTAAATAGTAAATAAATAAATTTAACAATCAGCAACGCGTTTCGAATATTTCTTCTTCAGGCTATTTTCGGAATGAAGAAAGTGGGGAACAAAGGTTCAATTGATAGGAGATACAATGGAAAAGGAGCATAATCCACAAGAGTGTAACCTATACATACAGTGATGATCGAGAAAAAAAGAGTATGGTGAAGTAAAACAATGGTGGAACAAGGAAAAACATTAATTTGTCGTGAACAATTAGAAAATTAATGAAGATTACATAGCGTGAAAGTTTTTAAGAATTGGGATAATGTTGTGATAGTATGATGAAGAGTAAGACGTGTTATTTTGATGATATGATGCTGTTTGTGATGAGGTGGTTTTTGATGATATGATGTAGAGCTGATTTTTGATGATACGATGTAGAGCAGGTAGTGCATATGAAAAAGAATTGGAATGATGTTATGATATGATGATCTTATGATGATGTGATGGAAAGTGGTAAATTGGGAAATATGAAGAATAAAACATTGTGATAATATTATGATGGTGGAAACTATTATGATGGCAAATAAGTATCACGATGATGTTGGTAATAATGATGGTGATAATAATAATAATAATACTTGAGATGGTGATATGGTATGGAGTTGAGATGTTAAGAATAGTTGATATTTTGATATGGTATGGATTTGAGATGTTGAGAATGGTTGAGATGGTGATATGGTATGGGTGTGGGGGGTGTGGGTATAAGATGCAGTTAAGACACACACAGACCCACACCCACCGAACTATATAAATGAATTTTTTCCGAAATTCAAATTAGAAAAATTAAATGAATTCCAAGAAAATTTTAATGTTATAGTTTAAAATGGACTAAACAAAAAATGAAGTCTAATCGACATGGTAGTGCTACAGGATCGGAGCAAAATTTAAACAGCGAAGAAAACTTGATGTAGATAATAATCTACTTTTCTTCAGATAAACCACTTAATTAAAGAACTTAAATATGTGGTAATACATTTAGACTGTTAGATGGTTTACAATAGGTTCCAATAATAGTACGATTATGGTAAAAGAAATTTTTATTTCATTAGCACAATCTTCTAAAATTACTTTTTATTTTTTTTTGTTGAATAACAATCTAAACGTAACATAGGAATTGCATTCTAGAGTGATCATTGATGTTGCTATCTTTGCACACAACTATCTGAGATTTACTCTTAATTGATTCATCATTTTTCCTGTTATGTGGTATTCAATAATCAATCTGTTAAAGTTTGCGACAATAAGCATATACATGTAAACATTAAGGCTGATTAAATATTTATGAAATTTCATTTTTTTTCTAATCGTTATAATTGTGTGTCAAAAGCAAACTATGCGTTTTTTTAGCATAATTGTCGATAACATTGTCAAACTAGTTTGGAACTCAGTACCAACTCAATCTTTAAATTAGTATTAAAATAGACATAATAGTTACGGTTTTTCATGAATTATTCTGTTTAGTTGATTCATTCTTACTTACGAATTTATCTTATCAAATAGATGAACATATTCAAAGAAAATTATTTGAAAGAAGTCCTTGATGTCGAACAGTGGACAACCATAAAACAACACTCAATGTTCATTTATCTATGGTATTGAAACATATTTCAACAATTAATTATCGAAACAGAATTTTAAAAAAAATCTTTATTATTAAATCTACAGATATTCAGTCTATAGTACAAAACAAAAAGGAGTATAGATTGCCACATTAGATGCACGTCGGTAGGTCTAAACATCGGAAAAATTTTTAAAAAAGATAATAATAAGCCAACTTACATCTTGCACTTGTCGAAGTTCTAAAGAAATTAAATCATTTAGTAATATCAATCTATATAATGTCAGAATATCTTATACCTTCTTTGCTGAGTTCTACATTTTTAGCTTTGACTTTTGTCTCTAAAAGTAGAAGAATTTATTTAAATTTCTGAAAAAATAATTAATTATTCACCAAATAAACTTAGTAGGAATGCAAATCGTTTCTTTCTTGGAAGATCATTACCATGTTTGATTAATTTTTCTTGTAATGCGTCCTTCCCCATCTTGAAATCGATTTCGTAAATATTTGTAAAACGTATAGATAGTCTCAATAATAAACTAAAAGTAAATGTCTACTTATTGACTAAAATTTGTACGTAGTTTTTGTACTTTTCTACTTTATATTTTTTACTTTTTAATAACGAAAAAAGACTGTTAACAATAAACATGTTTTGACTATTTATACAACATGGATGACGAAAACGAAAAGGTGTGACTCGATTTTTAATATTTAATGGCCTGTACGTCATCATATGATTGCTGTTATGTATGTGAGACATTATAAGAAAAAAATATATAAGAAATGCATTGTATAGTGTTTAATTAATATATCAAATAAAAGACAGAAATAGTGACTATACCTTGTGAAAATATGCACGTATGCATCGTTGATAACGAATCATCTACGAAGGTTGAAAAAATTGTGACGAAATTTATTTTCGTGATGAAGATTTTATTTTTGATAATTTCTATATTTAGTATAATTGAATAATTTACTTTTGAAAAACTATACTGACCAAAAAAAAATACATTCTATAAATGAAATGCAAAGAAAATTCTTTTTTCTCGAGAGTTCTTTGATCAATATTTCGGTTTGATATTAATTTTCTTCGTTTTTACATAAATCTAAGTGTTTGAAGAAAATCAATCCTTGATGAAATTTTTGAGAAAACTAATATGATCATTCTATGTATTATAAACCATCGATCAGTGTTGTACGTAAAACCGATTTTCGTTTTCTGTTATGTGACGAACTTGAACTGACCTTTAAGTACAAGCATTAGTCGTTCGAACTGAATAAAAAAAAGCCAATACTTGGCTGTTGTCAATTTACTATTCTCCAAATAGACTTAGTGCAAACTAAAAATAGACAACGTATGAGATTCAACTCTTATGTTTCAATAGAAAAATAATATGTAGTAATGGTCGAATTCAAGTGAAATAGAAGTGAATTAATTTGAGTTTTTGAAATTATATTTCTTCTATCTAATACGAATCACTTATGTCAAAGGCGAATAAACAAAAGCTTTATTTCAAACAACCCAAAATGCTTTGTAGTTTAATACGTGGATCATTTAAGGAAAAACGAAGTCTATCTCCTTTCATTTGAATTTGATTCTGTACAACAATTTTTTTTGCTAATAGGCTGTTGTTACATAACCATATGTAAAAGTGTTGGCTCTGTCAGCTGAATATTAATATTAATTAATTAAAAAGTAATTAAAAATATTCTTCTGACCATACGAAAAAAAACTCTAACAAATTCAAGACAGTTTCTAGAATACCAACTGCATTTATGGTGAAAGTTTTAGTAATATCGAATTCAGAAAAACTAGTTTTCTAGAAACCTTATCATATTTTAAAATAAAATATTTTTGTTTTATTATCATGGCGAGATTTTGAACAGGTATTTGTGTCATTCGAAATTGGTTTTAAACATATCGTTCGATTATAATAGTGTTTTCTTATTTTTTCATTTTGCTCTATCATATTGCTAACGAAATAATAGATCGACTTGTTTTGAAAGCTCTCCTCATACTCAGAAAAACTTTGAACTTAGATATTGTGGTTTCATACATCGTTTACGAAATGTACGATTTTATTTTTAAAAAGTGGTGTCCCAATTCGAAATATCTGAAAACGAAAACATATGGGGTGAAAGTCGATGTTCGTTTCTTTTTTGGACAAATCTCTCGAGTGATGAGTTTTTCGAGACATCTAAAGTAACTTAGCATTTATAATAAATACTAAAATTAGCCCCTAGAAAAGTTCACTATGCCAAGAAATATATGTTTTCATTGCTCGAAATCATGCCATTACGATATGAAACGATCAATAGATCAATATGATGTATTTACCTTCAAATGATCTTAAATAATTTTAATATGGCGCTGTCATATAATAAATCATCATACTAACTATTGAAAATAAAGGTAAAGTTAACCACACTCAATATCTAAGTCAAATAAGACTTCTGTATGTCTCTTTGAGTTTTGGGGTGTGGGTGTGGGTTTGTGGGTATGCATTAAGAGAAGATCAACCTACCCACACCCACATCCTTGACTAACACATTTATCAGATGCATTAAATGTATCACATATTGTAGTTGTTGATGCTAATGAAGGTGATGGCATCGATTTATCTTTTGTTGTTGGTTCATCATCGTTTGGATTGTTATTGTTAACCTTTTTTTTCTTTTGTTTTGTTGCTGTTGTTGTTGAACTCGATGATGATGACGACATGGTTGATATTGTTCGCTTAAATGAAGAAGTACTTTCACGAATTGTTTGAGCAATTTCTTCTGATTCTTCCCGAAGACCAGGAGGAACACTCCATTGATAAATATTCACATGTCCATCATCACCAGCTAAATCAAGTCCATAAGCACAACAATCTTTTTTTGAACCTAGAAAATAAATAAAAAATTTAATCAATATGTGGATACATGCAATTTGATGTTCTAAATTGCTATTTCGTGAAAAAAAGTCTATTGTTTTGATAATATAAGAAAATGGTTTTCGAAAATAAGTATAAGAAATGCAAAAATCTACCTAAAAAAAGAATTGTTCCTCGACGACGTTCACGTTGAAAACCCTCAAAGCAGGTTTTGAGACCGATTTTTAATGGAGATACTGATTTTGATTGTTTTGTATCAACAACTGCAAATTGATTGACACTATCTTCCCATCGAACCAAGCAATGAGAAGCCATTTCAACATGATTTGGCATTTTTAGAACAATGAAATTGATTGATAATCTACGAAAAAAGAGCAGTACAATACAATAAAAGACATAACTTTCGTTTGAAATCTTAAACGAAAAAAAGTTAAAACAAAAAAGAAATCGATCCACATCCTCTAACGAACAAACACAATCGTTATAATAAACGAAGTCTTGTATTCAATAATGCATGTCTAGTCGTTAGAAAAATTGATTCACATGTTTTTTTGTTTTAAACATTCTTCATATTAAGCCACGAACAAAACAGGTCTTTGTGAAATCTTCTTTATATATGTTTAGACGAGGAAGAAGCAGAAGAGAGTTAAGAGAGCGCTGTTTCTATGGCGAAACCAATGATATATATGTAAATATTCGGTCAGGTGCCTCTTGAATACACGACAAAAAAAATTAAAGAACCACTTAGATAAACTAGTGATTTAATGATCAATCTCAGAGTTTCTATATACAATCAAATAAATAAAATTTTTCTTCTTTATAAATATGACTGATCAAACTAATAATATTGTTGACGAAAATTCATACAATTTATAATTTAATGAACAGTAATCTTACGATAACGAAAATATGACAATAATAATTGTTTTCTTTTTTTCTGTTCTATATGATAAAAACAGGTAAAGACAAAGACAAATTGATGTTAATGATTTTTAGCATTTCAAATTCAATACATTTTTCTTATTAATAAAACAATTTTTATAATTGATAATCGATAAATAAACTACACCATTGAAGAATCTTAGATAATTAAACAAACGTGTTTTTCATAATGCAAGTTTGTAACTTTGTTATTCTTAGGTTATGAATGCCTACTAGGATGTATTGAATTGAAGGTGACAAAGAGTTTTCATAAACGAGCAACTAGTTTAAACTCAACATTACATTAAGTTTCTGTAATTAGACTAGAATTGACGAGTATTAAAGAAATAACCAACTATCAACGTAAGATGTCATACTGAATTTCAGACTAGTCTGGTTCAGACAGAATGTCATTTTTAGTAAAACATGGTAGTCTTGACTGGTGCTCAGGATCTCTCAGACTAGTCCAGACATCTATTTCAAAATTATTAGGCTAGTCTAGTCCCGTCATTATATTTCCTCATAAGACACTGACTAGTCCTGACGTCGACACCAAATATTTGAGACTAGACTTGATTAGTCCCTAGAATATCTCAAACTAGTCTTGACATATATTTCGGAAATATTAGACTAGCCCAGACCTGTTAGTATGTCGCTTTTTAAAATACTGATCAGTCCTGACGGCCACATTCAGTATTTTAAACTAGTCAGGATGGATGTTGTGGACGTTTCGGACTAAACATGTCGCCAATCCTCTCGTTTTTTCGCTTGCCTGGAAAGAAACTCACACACATACCTATAACCTCAACACTTATTCTGTCTACTAAATGTAGCCTCTTCTTTGACTTAAAAATCAAAATAATGGAAAATGCTATTCTTTTTTTTCATTGAATAATGAAATTCAAATAATTTTCTCTTGTCGTTTGCATATCGACAAATTATCATATTTTCATTATACTCTGGATTATTGTAATACTATGAAAAACAAAAACGTGGCATCTACACAGACAACAATTTAACAACAAATGAAAGGTTATGATTTTCAATGCTTAAGTATTATACTCATTCTGATACATAATTCTGATCTACCATCGATGCGTCTAACACAAAGCAAGCTGAACTTACAACTAACTTTCTCATATGTATTGTTCTGAGTAATTGCTTTCTAAATCATGAATTCAATACGGATGAATTACAGTGGGGGCCAATTGAATTTTCCCCTTTGTTTTTTTGTTTTTTATTACTATACTTCTTTTGTTTATTAACCCACTATATCTAGGAAGAAAGCCCGGAACGCGCTGCATCTTTTGATATATTTATGCTGAACACCAAATGCATTTTTAAGTGTAAAAAGTGTATTAGACAAAAAAGTAAGATTTTTTTTACTACAAAGTGTCTATAATTTTGTAAGACTTTTTATTTCGCATATATCTCGGGTTAGGTAAATGATAAAACCTTGAATTCTTTTCCAAAAGATGCGTCGTGAAAAGATCGATAACAGTTGTATGGTTGAATGCCTTTTTACCTTTTCTAATGGTTTTTCTTATACTTGAAATGAACAACTTACACGACAGGGCCACTTGCCACCTTGCTGAAAATGTTGGAAGATTTTTTTGTTCTGCATATATCTCGACTCGAGAAAGCGGTATAATATTGATTTTTTCTTGAAAAGATGTGCCGTCGAAAGCTCTACAAAAGTTATATCGACCACATCCTATAGCGAATGAAAAAAGTCCTCGAAACTTTTTCAGTATGATGCGAAGTGACACTCATGTAGGTTGTTCATTTTGAGTATTAGAAAA